GTTAAACATCAGAAGGGGTGAAGATGGAAGAGGTGAAAGAGTTTGACACCTCCAGCAAAACTTAGGGAGGAGCTGGAGCTTTTCATAAACCCACAATGTCAGAACTGTGATAGCTCTAATGGATAGTGCAGGGCTCTTGACTGGGCAAGACCCTGAGCAACAAAATGTGACCTCAAAATGACCCTATTTTTGAGCAGCAGGCCTTGACGTGATGACCACCTGGGGCCCCTTCCAGCCTAAATTACTCTGTGACTCTCTGATTCTTGCTCTATTTAGATGTTAGTCCATACACTGTAGATGTCAGTTTGTCCCAGTAGGTGTGTTCCAGTTCTTCTTGTTATTGTAATTGTAGTGCTGAATATAACACTAGTGATGAGTACAATGCAACAGTATTCTAGGAATCTAAATAGAAATATTGTTTGTAATTGAAACAAACTGAGAAAATCATGTAAGCCTTCAGTTGTAATGCTCACTGGCATATAAAACTAAGCAAACTGCTATTACTTTTTTGCCATGAGCACTGATAACTCTTCTGGGACAACACCAGCAAATAAGATAGTTCTTTGGGGTGGAAAGGTGGCATGTTGTGTTACCAAACTATATCCAACTCTCTCATTCCCCTTACTCCTACCAAGAATTTGCACTAATCTCAACTATAAAACTGATGTGCAAAAATGTCTAACCAACAGGTTTACAGTAGAAGAAACTGGACTTGTCATGGCTGTTGCAGAGGGGACATTTATGGCCTGTGACTCAGAAAGAAGTTGATAGGGATTTTGTTTTCATTTTCTTGCATTTGATCATGGCTTAGCTTTGACTTCATTCAGTATTCTACATTTTGAGCCTACAAGTAGTTCAGAGTCTGAAGTTCAGAGTCAAAGCCTTGAGCAACCTGATCTGGTGGGAGGTGTCCCTGGCCAGGACTGGGGGAAGGGACTAGGTGATCTCAAAGTTCCATTCCAACCCCTTAACATACTATGATACTATGAAATTACTGGCATCACAGTGGTTTCACCAGCTGGAGTACTTTGGTGCTGGAGGGCATCAACCTTGATTCCCTGAGATACTATTTTACCTAAGAATTCTTGGACAATTCTTGGAGAATCCTGTCTCAGGGCTACTTCTCCAGGAAAGTCAAATGGAGACTTACAGGTTTTCACTGCAGAATTGGGTAGCACTTTGTTTAGAGGTGTTTCTGGCCCTGATTGGTAGCTACATGGTGAAGCTCCCTTGAAGCCCATGTATGAAGATTGACTGGCTTATAGTGTCTGGGGGAAAGTTAGTTACTGAGTTTTAATGAGCATTTTAAATATTTCAACAGTTTATTATTAAACAGAAATGTTTTGGTGCACACATCCATGTAGTGTGACAGTTCTCTGATATTCTGAGCTGTGAGAGGTACATGAACAGAGACTTCTGCTTAGACTCTGCCTACATGGGTTTTATCTCTTTGATGCAGAAACTGTTTTTTTGTCATTTATCTGTGAAGAGGAGGATATTAACATCCTTTCGATAAGAAGATAAAATAATACCACTGACAGGTATCTTACCTTATCCAAGGGCAGATGGAGAGTGTTTGCTGTCTGCTAATAAAGAGGAACTGTGCAAATCCAAATTGTGACATTAGCTGTTGGCTTTGTGACTGAGAGATGAGGTCCAAAACGAGGGGAGGTTAGAAGTTGGCAGCTGTACCTTGGTGCTGAGTATCTGCTGTTACTCTGTTGATGCCGAGTCAGAGAGTGAGGCTGTGAAATGTTAATTGGCTTGTTAGGAAGTGCAAGAGCACTGTGGCTTAGTAAGGTGATGTGACATTAAAAAGTGTCAGATGGAGAGGTTAGTTGGACAGACCTCTGTTTCATTGTCAGGTCATTACTGTTTCTGAAATGGTAATTTAGCATATTCCTTAAAATTTTCAATTATTAGTATAAGTTTTAAGTGATGTTCTTTTCAGCCTATAGCATAAAAACAAAATCTGTTACTTCCAAGCAGTCATAGCAACCATTTTCTGCTGAACAGGTTGTTAAGGAATTTTATGCTGACTTTGTAAGAAGACATTCACCACTTTAATCAACATAGGTCACCCAGAACTAAGGGTGTACTTCAAATGCAGCTACTGATGCAAAGAAGTAATAGTACCTTGAACAGGTTGAAATTAATTCTGTCTGTATTGCTTCTGCTTTTTTCAACGGGTGACTGAGCTAGAGTGTGTGAGCAGCCAAGCCAATGCAGTCCACACACATAAAACAGAATTAAACCAGACAATACAGGAGTTGGAGGCTACACTGAAGAAAAAAGAAGAGGTATCGGCTAACATTTGTTTTTGTCTTTCCTCCTACATAATTTCTAAAGCCTTTCAATAGTAAGCTTGTAATGGCTGGGAAAAACAAAAACTCATTTTTTTTTCTATAGATGTTACAAAGTAAATTATTTTGGCTTCTTCGAAATTGTTCATAGTTTTTCCATTTATATTGTTACATCAGTACTATGTGGAGTTGGGTATGTGAACAACAACAGCAACAAAGTATGTTTTCCTGTTTGCTTTTTTCCAGACATTCCTGTCTGCTAAAGTAAGTCATAAGTGGTTCCTACAGAGCAGTCACCATGCTGGTGCAGTCCACATTCCTTAAGAAAGGGAGGTATTCTAAACATGCTTTCCTTCATATGGAGAGCAGGATTTGAAACAGGTAGATCAGTGCCTTTCTCCAGCCAGTCTGTTTTTCAGGCTCTGTTGATATAGCTGACTTTTATGATACATAAGATCATCCCTTTCCTTAAAAGCATGCCAAGCCCTCAGCCTGAGACTTGATGATATTTATTGTGCCATCTGCCTTGGGCTGGACCAGCAGCAAGAAAATAAAAGGAATTGGAGTAACACCTGCCCTGGCACAGGTCCCAGAGGAAAGCAGATTTGTGCCAGAGAATGATCAAGAATCACTCCTTTATGGCTGGGAAAAAGGAGGTGGAAGCAGCCATGTATGAAGGATTATTTGCCCCATGTAAGACCAGGTCCCTTGAGCCCTCCCTGACAGACACAGTGGGCACTGGTGTGTGTCCCTGGAGGGGACAGTGTGTCTTGCAGCGTCTTCCCTCAGTGTTGTTAGGTGTTTCCAAGGAGGATGCAGGAGAGACACAGTCATTACATAATATCATCTCAAAATGGAACGAAGCCTTGTCCAAACTCCCTCATACTTAATAGATTAGGCTCGGGTTGGTAATGTTTCCCATTTTGTTGCCCATTCTCTTCTGAATTGTGCTGAGCTGTTGGCTGCAAAGAGTTATTGCCAAAAGGAGTTCTGGGAGGTGAATATGCCCTCTGGAGAAAAGTACTTCTTAGTTTTGAGTTTGATACCTTTTAGTTTCATTAGCCATTTCTGTTCTTGCCTCCTGAAAGGAAACTAAGAACAGGTTTCTCTTCTGTTCATTATTTCACCTATATTTGTTGTTTTTATACCTTACTACTTTCTTCTTGCTAGATTAAAGGTAGCATTTCCTTGAGACTCTTTTTTTACACAAATCAGTGGTCAAAGCAGGTAATTTTTTTGATGCTCAGCCCTGTGACTAGTGACATAAAAATCAGTTCACATATGAAAATTGGATTTCTTTTCTTGAAAAACTGAAGAAGGTTAGATTCTAACAATTTAAAGTTGCTTCTCTAATTACAAGAACCCTTAATTTTCCAGGATAAAATAATTTCAGATCTCTTTGTGTGGGAAAAGAAAACTTGGATTTTCATAAAAGAAAATGCTTGTCTGTATTGTTGCTCATTCACAATGGAAATGCTGTTTTGGGACTGTGATTCAGGACTATTGGGAGCAGGGCTTAAACTTCATGTGCTGTGATGGGCTGTGGCCAACTGCTGGTTTTGGTGTCATTGCAATGACTTGCTCAGGAGAAGAAGCAGCAGCAGATTACCTGCACTGAGGCCAAGCCAGGTGACATGTTTCTAGCTAGGTTGTTTCTTCTTCCTTAGGAAATTGAAGGATTGAAGCAAGAAATTGAAAATGCCAGAGAGCTCCAGGCACAAAGGGATTCTCTGACCCAGAAGTTACAGGTGAGCTATAATGCATCATCTTCATTTAGAGAAAAGGGAAAAATAAGCATCCAGTGAGCAGTTCACATCAGCAACTTGTGCTAAGTCTCTGTAGGTGCCAGATAAATGTGTTAGACTGCACTGGAAGTGCTGGGTTGGGATGATCCGTAGGAATTTGTATCAAAATTTCTCCTTGCTGTGAGTTGTTATTGTTTACCCAAGAAAACAGACCCAGATTTCATTTACAAGTACTCGAGGGTAGCAGACATCCTTCATCAATACATATCCTGGGCAGTTCTGGTCTCATTTTCACAGCACTGTCTTTCCATAGGTCTCATGTGCCACTACACCTGTCAGTCTGTGTATCACCAGGCTGGGATGAATTTGTGTTCAGCTTTCAAATGTGCTCCGAGATAGGAAAGGTTAAAGCATTTTCGTGTAGTAGAGTCTTTAAAAACACACTTCATCATTTCCTGGAATTATTTAGAAACACTGTGCTTTTATTGATTTTTTTCTGAGGTGTTTCTTAACTGTGTGTAATGCCAGATACCTGAGACTACTGGAATCAGTGTGCCCTCAGTGTGTCCTCCCTTGCTCCATCCAAGCTCCTGTTTGTCTCTCACTTCACTGACCAGACAGCAGATAATCACCTCCCTTGTCAAACGTGCCTTTGGAATGAGGCTGACCCAAAGATTAGGTGGAATAAACTCTGGGTTCAGACTACAGAGTTTGGTAAGAACTGGAAAACTCAGGCATTAAACAACTCCAGACCCAAAGTGCTGGAAGGTGACCCTCACTGTTCTATGGCTCAGCCACAGTCGTAGAATCATAGAACTTCAGTGTTGGAATGGACCTTACAGATACGTGCCTTTGGAATGAGGCTGACCCAAAGATTAGGTGGAATAAACTCTGGGTTCAGACTACAGAGTTTGGTAAGAACTGGAAAACTCAGGCATTAAACAACTCCAGACCCAAAGTGCTGGAAGGTGACCCTCACTGTTCTATGGCTCAGCCACAGTCGTAGAATCATAGAACTTCAGTGTTGGAATGGACCTTACAGATCAGATCGTCCCATCACCCTCTGCCATGGGCAGGGACACCTCCCACCAGACCAGGTTGCTCAAGGGCTCATCCAACCTGCCTTTGAACACTGCCAGGGTTGGGGCATCCACTACCTCCCTGGGCAACCTCTGCCAGTGTCTAGGGGAGATGCTCCAGTCCTCTGATCAGCTTCATGGCCTCCTCATAGGGAAGTTGCTCCAACAGTTCATGTCCTTCTTATGCTGAGGACACCAGAACTGACACTGTTTTCAGTCACACTGAAAAAAGCCCCATCAGATCAGCCACAGCTTGAAAAACATAAAGCAGGTATTCTTTGAAATGTGTGGCATAAACTGGGGCTTCCATGAATCACATTTTAACCTACAGAATAAACCAGATAAAATCAAAATGGGTTAATTCATTTTCCCCCATTCTTAAGCCAAATCGTTTGCAAAAAGTATGTTATTGCTTTGAATGCTCTTTAAAGGTTGTTTTGAATACACCTCAGCTTGCCTGTTTCAAAAATTTTTGCAGGCTTTAGGTAGAAAATGGGAGTTCTCAGCTGAAAAAGCACTTATCTGAGGGACTTAAAAGGGAGATTATTACAGCTGGAAATTGTTCCAGCAGTAGCATATGCAATAATCTCACTGTAAGATCATATGAAAAGGAATAGTGAGCCAGGAATTAGTTATCCTTAGCCAGCAGAATTATGAGAGAATAGTAAGACATGAAATATTAGGAAATGCTAGTTTTTATAAAATTTTGCCTTACAAAGTCAGTAGTTTCCTTTTGGTATATTTATGTATAAGTCATTGAGAGCAGCCCTGCAGAGAAGAACTTAGAGGTGATGGTTGATGAAAAACTCACCATGAGCTGCAGTGTGCACTCGCAGTCCAGAAAGCCAACTGTGTCCTGGGCTGAATCCAAGGGAGTGTGGGCAGCAGGTCAAAGGAGATGATTCTCCCCCACCTGGAATACTGCACACAGTTCTGGTGTCCTCAGCATCACAAGGACATGGAACTGTTGGAGCAAGTCCAGAGGAGGCCACAAAGCTGATAAGAGGACTGGAGCACCTTTCCTACGAGGACAGGCTGAGAAAGTTGGGGATGTTCAGTCTGGAGCAGAGAAGGTTGTGTGGAGACCTCATAGAACCTTCCAGGATCTGAAGGGACTCCAGGGAAGCCAGAGTGGGACTTTTTGTTAGGAACTGTAGTGATAGGACAAAGGAGAATAGCTTCAAACTGAAAGTGAGGTTTAGTTTAGATGTTAGGAAGAAATTCTCCCCTGTGAGGGTGGTGAAACATTTGCAGAGGTTGTCCAGAGACGCAGTGGCTGCACCAAACCTGGACTGTTCAAGGCCGGGTTGGATGGGGCTTTGAGCAGTTTGGTCTTATGGGACGTGTCCCTGCCTGTGTCAGGAGGGTTGAAACTAGATGAGCTTTAAGTTCCCTTCCATCCTAAACCATTTTATGATTCCATGATTCTATGTCTTTAGTAACCAGATGGTTACATTGTGAATATATGTCCATAAGTCACATTGTAGGTGATCAGTTTCTGGAAAGAGTTTTATATGGTTCTGTTCAAGTAAATTTAAGCTCACTTAGGATCTGAGTTAAGAGTTGCCTTACTTAAGCTTTAACCTTATTCCTGACCTGATGCAACCCATCCAAAAGATCTTGAGTCTGTACTTTGCTTTGATTACCGTCTTTCTCTGAGCCACTTCACCCTACATCTGTGACATCAGTAAAATGGTGTTTTCTTCTCTAGCTCCAGACTGTCTCACATCTGTTCACTTACTTGACTCATTTGTTTTCAGGGTGATTCTCTCTCCAGGGTTCGTATCTGTTTGTTTCACTCTTTGTTCCTGTGCTTTATTTTTCCCTCTTGTGCTTTTCAAGTGGATTATATAACTCTAAAATATTTTGGAATATAACCTGTACAAAAAATGCTATGCAAAGAAGTTATTACTTCAAGGTGTATTACATTTCTGATGCACTCATACCGGGGAATTAATTAGAAATCAATTATTGGCAAATTCCTGTGAAGACCAATATGTTATCACTGTCGAGGTTAAGTATTGGGTCCCTTGTTGCTTGGTAATTTCATTAGTAATATAGAGAAGTCATATCAGTGAGTCACAATCAGTGTGACTCCCCAGTAGGTCAGAATATCTTTGTTAGTATGGCTGATTCCTAGATTTAGCTGTGGTGTATGGTGCAAGTAGTTTATTCAGATCCTTCACTGAATTCCACAGGGGATTGTTACAGTGCAAACAACAATGCAACTAATAGTAATTTTCTAAGAGAAAACAGTATGAGAAATCTAATGCAAGAAGAGGTTGAAAAAGGTGTAAAATGCACTCTGCAAAGGGCCTGAATGTATCAGTTCATCGTTAGATGAGATCAACAGCAAGTAGAGGGAAATGACACAACTAGGGGTATAGGTTACATTACATGGACACCTCTCCACTTCTTCCAGTCATGAAGCAACAATTTGAGGTAGACTGATTTGAAATAGGAAACTGCACACCAGCTGCACATGAATTTACAATGCAATAACATAGCAAAAAGCATTAATACTCATCTAGAGTAAATATAAGGATCGAATGTAAATTTGGAAAGAAGTGTTTTCCAGAAATTAAAAGCAACAGCTCTTGGGATATTTCAGTTCATGAGTGTATGAGGAGGCCCTGAAAGCTGTTCTTCAGTGCTAGAAGGGGCCAAGGGGATGCTTTCTTCAGGCCCAGATATCACAGTGTAAATCCATATATGTATCCATAGATTTGTTCCAAACTTCGATCTCAGGGTCAGGTCCCCTTTCCTCACTGGCTTCCCTGCTTACAGAAATTAATTATCTGTTGAGTAAGAGCAACGGCAAGGAGACACCCTAGAGCACACAGATTTGGTGAGAGGAAGAGGAGCAGTGACAGGAGAAGCAAGATGCATGAGCGAGTATTGAAAACCAGCAGTTTTCTATGAGCTAAAGAAAGGACTGGCATTCCAACAGAGCTGAGAGGACCTTGGATTTCTCTTTTTGTCCTGTGCTGCAGTCACTTGACCTCAGAGGGTCTTGAATCACTACACCAGGTACTACTTGGCAGGCAGGAGTAGGCTCAGTGAAGGAGAGCCTTTGTATGGTATGACTGGTTTATCACCAGTTAGCTTCTTCATTTGTAGTCACAGTGGGGTAGCTAGTCACTACATCAGCATGTACGTATTTTATTTATATCATTTCTACAAATGCTCTTTTCAGTTAGCTTTTCCTAGTGCTTTGGCAACTCAGTACTCAGTAATCATTCAGTACTAATAGATTAACTCTTTTCTTGGTCCTGGCAGCAAGGGGTAACTCCTGCTCTCAGCTGTGCTGGTCAAGAACAGTGCCCCAAACTCTGTAGTTTTTAACTTGCCCACTTACAAACAAGAAGTAAGGGAGGTATTCCAGTTTGGCTTGGACCCTTGGTTCCACAAGCAGCCAGAGTTATAAGGAGATGAAGGTCCTGAGGTTCTGCCTTCTCCACCTGCACCACTGCTGGGGGTCCCAGAACTCTCCCACACTGCAAAGGCTCAGAGCTGAAACTGAGCACTGGCCACATCACCCTATCCTCCTCTGGACAGGAATGCAGTGGTGTGCTGGTTTGAGCAGCCTCATACTAGCCTCTGTGAAGAAAGTTAACTCTACTTCAGCTCAAACCAGCACAAGTGGCCAATTGATGTTGCTGTCAGACCCTTCACAAGCGAAACCCCTCCTGGGCCATGGACATTGTTACACAAGGCTGCTGTTTTTTACCTGTTACCTCTTGAATGCTCAATGCATTTTCTGTATGGGTCAAGTTGTTTCCTATTGTTAGCTGAGATCTATCCGGTGTAAACATGAACCTATTTCTTAGCTCTAAGGGAGACAGAAGAATCAGAGCAAAAACAGTGGGAGAGTTGGAGGGCTGAAAAAGGAGTTGCTTGGCTGGGAACAGTGACTGCTGCCAAATCTCCCTCCCTGTTCCTTTGTAAAACTAGTTGCTGTAAAAAGAGCAGACCTGTTAAAGCTTTGTGACACAAAGCCACTGTAAAGGGAAGAGGTGTTGAAAAAATGCTACCACACATAAATATGAATTCACTGCACTTTTCCAGGGAATGGCTGCACAGGATGTATGGTGCACTACATACTCTGTCCCTCTACTGCCTTTGAAAGTGATTTTCATAACTGAAATTACAAAATTTAGCATGAATTTTCAAGGTATGCAACACATAATAAATATGACAAGTAACAGACCCATGTGACTGCTACATTAGCAATTTGAAGGAAGAGAGAGCATCCAGTTTGCACAGGGCTGTGACCTCCCTCCCCTGTCAGGTGCGAGGTTAGAGCTTTAAGGAGTCCCAACAGGCTGATGCCAAGGGGCTTCATCTTGTGAATGAGCGCTGATCTTGCTCAGGGTCAGATCCCCTTGGCTGTGTCTAACATGCTGCCCCTTCATTTTTCCACCTGCTGTATGGGAATGGTTTGCCCATACAGCACTGGTGGCTCACCTGCTGTCCCTGCTCCCACAGCTGTGCTGCTGTGGGCCTTGCAGGTGGGTGTGAGGCAAGATGTGCAGCTTGCACCGCCTGGTTCAGATTTCTTAGAGTCAGTGTCACCTTGGCACCAGTCTTGTAGGTTGTGTGCCTGTCATGATTTCCAGACTCACAAGGCCTGTAATGTGAGGCAGGAATAAGTTGGTGCTTCTCTGTCCATGAAGTTCTGAATGGGTTTCTGCATGAGAATATTTGATGGGGACCATGTCCTTGAGCAATTCATGTAGTCTAAGTCAGGGCATACTTGAACTTAAGTAAACCTCTGAGAAGCTGTTTTTGTTAGGTGGTACATTTCTGAATGACAGAAGCAATAACATACCCAAACCAATATACCATTTGTTCACTGGCTAAATTTTATGCCTCTCCAAAAGTTTCTGTCCTTCAGATAATTCTGGAAAATGGAGGAAGTGGCAGTACATACACAATTGTAACAACAATTCAGGTTTTGGTTTTGGCTTGGTGGAAAGTGTAAAGGGTCAGAAACTGTTTTAAAAACCAGTTGGTAAAAATAGCACACGAGTACCGGCAGGAGGTTAGACTGCTTTCTGTCTGCAGACAACACATTAACATGTTATGTATTCTCTCTGAAGGAAGTAGAAATTCGAAACAAAGACCTGGAAGGCCAGCTGGCTGATCTAGAGCAACGTCTGGAGAAAAGTCAGAATGAGCAAGAAGCTTTTCGCAATAACTTGAAGACACTTTTAGAAATTCTTGATGGAAAAATATTTGAACTAACAGAGTTACGAGATAACTTGGCTAAGCTAATAGAATGCAGTTAAAAGAAAATGGGATTTCAGTGCCAATCAGCTTAAAGATGCACTGTCTCTCTTCATAGGACTGTGTTGGGCTCTGCATCAAAGTTGCACAAAATTAGAAAATGCTCCTCTGAGAGGGATTGTTTTAAATTTGAGTTGTATTTCAATATAAAATTTAGAACTCAGCTTGTAGCTAGTTGAAGAAAAAACAAACAAACAAAAAAACCCACTTGAATTACAAATTACCTCCTTGTACATCATTGGCCACACTTGAAAGATATTAACAGTAATTGAATGCAATCCTTTTCTAATGATCAGTGATGGAAGAATTAGCAGTGTCCCAGGCCACGTCCCCTTTTTGTGACAGATACAGCATAGGTTATCTGCTGTTTTATTTATTTGAGACATTTAATTGCCGTGTTTTGTGCAAGAATTTAGTGATGGCAGCCCTGCATTTTGTTGTTCATAATAATTTCTCAGGATACGTTGCACTGTGGAGAAGCAGTGCCAGTACCAATTTATTATTGCCAGGAACGAGAGAGAGTTGCATCTTTAATTGAAAATGAAGTTACTATAACTGCTTGTATAAAGTTCTTCATTTTTGGTTTTTTTTTTTGGTTGGTTGGTTGGTTGTTTTTTGGGTTTTTAAATAGATATATATATACTGGAAGATACCGTATTTCTTTATGGAGCTTACTCTGGTGTTCTACAATATTGTCCGATGTAAGGTTTACTTTTCCATATGAATTCCATGTAATTACAGTGAGGTAGTATCTTCCACTTAACTATATTTTGAAGCCAACCAATGATGGAAGGTGAGTCCCCCAGAGGGAAAAAAAAAAAAGCCCCAACCCCCCTAAGAATTTCAGATGTAACTTTAAGCTTTTAAATTTGACCTGCACAGATAAGGAGGAAGCGCCAGTTGTTTGTTTCCTGGCCTTGATACATATATTGAATGTTTGATTAACTGTGAACCTGTTCTGCAGGAGACTTTTTTTGAGAATGTTAGATGAAATTCAGGTTCTGTGAATAATGGCTTGTGGGGAGCACTGTTTTGTTACAGACTGCATTAAGGGCATAGAGCTATTGCAAGGCATTGCTCGTACACTGAACTTGTCTGGCCAAGAAGGCTGTTTCTTGAAGTTTTGTTGTCATAGCGAGTTGAAATGAAGACATGTTTACTCTTTTATGGGTCTTCATATCACATTCTTATCAAAACTACACCAGGCAATATTCTGAACTGTTAACGTTTCAAAAACAGGAAACTGAACTCAATTATCCTCAGTGAGCAGGTTTTAAAGTTGTTTTGATGTAATTTTAACAGACTTTTGGCAAACACACGTTTCTTTATACAATAGATTTATTTAAAAGAAACCCAACTCTTTGAAAGGTAAGCCAAGTGTCATATGTCTTGCATCACAGTGCATTCTTGCCATAAACTGCTTCTAATGTTGAAGAGGGCTTTTTTAAAATGTATGAATGAGTGTCAGACTTCAAAGAGTCGAAAGATGCACGAACCTTTCTTTGCTCCCCAGATTAATTTGAATGTTAAACATGAAACCTAGCTGCTTATTAAATTTGTACAACACGATTTTCTTCACTTAGAAACTGGTATTCAAAACTAGAAATAGATAAGTTTGTTTTCATGTCTGTACTGTGTGTATATACCATATAATACGCACGGGTTGTCATTTATACTGGAAGTACACGGTTTATTTCTAAAACGGTTTTTTTTCTCCTTACCAGTGATTTATCAGGTCTCCCCTGACTAGTCAGGGAAGTGGCTTAGGTCGAATGCTAAACTGTCATGTATTATATGGTATGTAATATACACAATGTTTACGTTTTCTCCATATTTTTAGGGTATTTTCTCACATTTACTAAAAGGGTGGGGGGAGCTTGTTTCATTGTGCTACTGGTTGAATACTTTGTGGTGAGCTACATGTTTTTCATTCAGGGGATTTTAGACAGTAGTGTGTATATCTTCATCAGGTCCAGATGAGCAGTTACAGCCAGTTTTTAATTTTCCTGGGGATATTTGGGCCTGATTCTCCTGCCACTTGTGCTGCTGTAAACCAGATGTGTCCTTGATGTGATGTCAGCAACGTTCCGTTGGCATGACATCTGTGGAAGTGCAAGGAGAATTCGGCCTGCCAATGCTCAGTGGACATAATAAGGATGAAGAAAGAATAAAAACACATAAAGTTAATGATGGAATAAATGTAATATTATTTTTAATGATATTCTTATTCTTCTTATTATTGACATTTTTAAAGATATGATGTCATTTACGTGTTGGGAAAACAGTGGACAGAAATATTTCCACTTAAAATTTTGTGAGTATGTGTGGTACATGAGCATTTCTATGTATAAGTACACACACATATGTATATACAGAACATGGAAAAATTTAGATGTGCACATTTTTAATATTTTCCTATTGAAATTAAATTTAAGATTGGAAATTGATACTTGAGAATTTCTTTTCTCATAGAGTAGATATGCTTCATTTCTGCTTTTTTTTTTGTAACAATATGATTACCGAGGGCTGCACCTTTGAATTCCCAGACAGTTGCCAAACATAAATATGGGATAAGGTGGACATACGTGCACATATAAATAAAATCCTATGTCTAAGACTATTTTTAATGTTTATGTACAGTAGGTGAGTGTTTAGAAATTGTGATCTGAAGTTCATACTTGGGTGGCTATGCCTACTGTAGCCTCTCCACTTCTGTTTTAAGCCCGTTTGAAGCATTACTGTCCCAGAGACAGGTACTGTACATTGTGTCTTTCTTTGATGAAACTATGGGGAATATGTATACAAGAAAACTGTTCAGTACTACAGCCTGAAAACATGACCGTGAACTTGCACTGGAGAGGAGAGCAGTCACTTTGTGTGTAACTCGTCACACAGTGACTACAGCCTTGTAAAAAAAAAAGCAAAACACAACAAAAAAGAGAAAAGAATTACCATAAGCCTCACAGAAATAGAAAATTGAAATTAAAAAAAAAGAAAAAAGAGAAAAAAAAAAGAAAAAATGAAAAATAGATTTTTTAATTTTGAAATACACTTGCTGTTGTCTGGAGAATGTACTTTTACTCTCTTTTTTTTTTCCTTATATCTTTTTCAAGTATGTGCAAGTGATAGCAGCAGCTACCTTAATCTTTCAGGTGCTACTGGATTTTGCATTAGCGTGTTATGTTGTGAAATCCTGACTTTGACATAAAAGATTTTTTGTAAGTATATCCCCGTCTGGATAGCTAGTTTTTGGAGTGTCTTGTTCATAATCCATATGCCTCAATGATCCAGAAATTGCATTTTTTTTTATGTGGACAAAGTAAAAAATGTGTGAATTAAACTGTCTGTTACAGACTGGGAATTCCTTTTCCTGGCCATCCAGGAAAGAGGAGAACAAAATGAACTGATAATGCAGAAATGCTGTTACAAGGTCTCTAAGAAAATACATTTTCAGGTAAAATATAAATAAATAAATAAAGGGCTAAAACAGATGTTACACAAATAAGTATCGTTTAATGCTATCTGTGGCATTCCCAGGATAATTCCTTTAAAGAAAACCCTGCAATCAATTAAAGGTTAATATTTTGGAATGCGTCTCTTCAGTTGTGAGAGGTTTCTGATTTCTGCTCATTTTTCTGCCCAGTTAGGGATTAACTTCAGGTTTACCTTCAACAAGAGGCTAAACCTCAATTTGTTCTCTCACCTCGTATATTCTGTACTGAAGTGGCTGCTGAACAGCTCTGTGAACAACACATTCAGAAGTCGGAATCAAACCCGTTTTTCAGAAATACAGCACAGAGAGAGGATCGGAAAACTGTTGCAGACCTTAGTTCTCTGCAGAAATGTGGATGTCAGCAAAAGCACTTAGCTTGGTTGATTGCAGAAATCTTGGATCTTGAGGCCAAAGATGAATCTGGTTAGTGATTAAGTCTCGATGTCAAAAGAAAATTTTTTTTTAAAAAAAAAAGGACCATCGAGAAACTCCATCCAAACGTGCACAGTTCAGTGTCAGTAACTGGACGTGCCAGAGAAGTGCACACCTGTACATTGGGGTTTTGTCTTAGGAAATGGACCTGACTCTGCAAAGCAATGTTCAATTGTCTTGTTTACATTTTCTTAGTAATGCTGCATATGTGCACTACCTCTGAACGGTGCTAAGCAGAGACCACACCATGGAATAACAGATGTTACTGAAAATCTCTGGTTTTGCTTAGTAGCCTTAGTTCCTTGTTTTACTCCACTTACTCCAGACAAGTAGGATTAATTTTCCCCTTTATTTTATTGGGAAGAATGAGCAGAGTTTTGTGTTAGATCCCAGAGTCAGTTCAGCTCATGTCCACGCTTCTGGCTGTGCAACCTCTCCAGAAAGCAGGTACGAGTGCATGTATCACAATACCTCTAGTTACTGTAGACAGAAGTGGGTTTTCACATCACATGGGGATTCATAGCCTGCCCACCACAACCTCTCAGGGACCTGTAGTGGCCAGTATCGCCTCTGCACTGCTGGCAGCTCACCCTAGGACCAAAGAAACACAGTATACCCGCTTTCTCCCTCACTGCTGGGCCTGGCACAGGCAGAGCTCAGCTGCAAGGATACATCTGGCAGTTTGCATCACTTTCAGATAAAGGCATGGGAAGGGAAGTCACTATCAAAGTTGGTTTAGATTTGGAGTGGGGCAGAGCGGGGAACGCAGACTTGAAAAAGATTCCCTCGTGTAGCTGTAAAATAGGTTTGCATAGGGAAGGACAAACCAGCGGGAAGGATCTCACTTTCCGTAGGTGTTCACATCACGCTGACGTTGAGCATACCTGGCTTGCCCCAAAACTCCGCTCTGATTGTTACAAGCTTCTCAAGGTCAGCACTGGGGATGTGTTTCATGAACACGGCTGAAGTCCTGACAGCCTGCGAACCCCATGTCCTTTCAGTCCTTTACCTTCACGGGTCTAGAGGTTTGGTACTGGTGTTAGCCATCAGTAGTGGTTGATGATGCTCCCTGGTTTTTCCTGCCATCAGTTCCTATCAGCTGTGGTGTTTGTGTAATGGAATTCTGAGCTGGGTTTGGGGTTTTTACTTTCTTTTAACTTTGAAGTAGTTTCCAACCCTGTCCATCCCTGCTCTGGGGATTCTCATCCAAGCTTCACCTCACTGCATGAATCCAGCAGCGTGTCAGCTGCTTTTGCTTCCATTAGATTGAGAATAGCAACCTAGATGTTTTCTTGGAAGAGAGCTTGCATTTCTGTGACTGTGGTAATTCTGGAAGAGGAAGGATTTTTATTCCCAGTAGATCAAGAAAGAGGCAGAGCCCAGGACCTTCACAAACAATGCATGCATCCAGGTGCTAAGGGGAGACGAAGAGCTACACTGACAAGGTATGTTTAAGTATGATCTGTGTGTATGGATTTTCTCCTGTTGAGTTCAATATGGTCATGCAAATATTTGCAAGGTTAATATTTTCAGAGAGGGAAAATGACCTTTGAAATTCTCTGAGTCTGGATTGTATTTTGTTAAATGATCGGTGGAATTGTCTCAAAACAAAAGAAATGTGAAGCAAAATGATCTTGTACTTGCCTGCAGGAGAGACATCACAGCCCTTACCTGTGGATGGAAATGCAAACATTAAATCTGCTTTCTCCACATCTGAATATACAGTGATCTTTGCAAGTCCAGCAGTTTTGTTTCTGAGGAATCTGCAGCAATGGGAACCAGAAATCTATCAGTGAAAGGCACAGCTCTCTTTG